GTCAATTTTTTCAGTCAATATTTCGATGTTACAGTATATGTGGCAGCCGCTGGAGTAGTGAATGTGGTACCGCTGCAAAACGATATTTTAACTTGTATTATGACCAAATGAAACTAACTGACCATTTGATATCTCCCCAAACTATTCAGGTAGCATGAACGATGGTTTCAAAGACATCATGCAAGATCTTGCAGCCATAAATGAGTACTCAGTGACCGGAGTGTCAAGTAGCATACTCTCAGCCAGGGTTTCGTATGTCTTTGGTCTTCGAGGTCCCTCTATGACCATAGACACTGCCTGTTCCTCGTCACTAGTTGCCATAAATGCGGCTTCAAATGCTTTACAAAACGGTAAGGATACGCAAGGATTTATACAAAGCATACAGGAGAAACCGTTTGTATACGCGCAATGTTGTACGACTGCACATAGCATGTGATGTAGGAATTGCTTTGAAATACTCCCCTACCAAAAATGTTTCACCCTAACGTAATGCATAAAGTGATACAGAAAATAATGTTATAAACCATAATGTTTTTATTCAACTCCTAAAGGAATGTTCTTCACAAAAAATTACTGATAGTAAAACCAATGAATAAACTAACCATAGTACAAAATTAAAGCCACCTTTTAGTATTTTGCACAGTATCTTCTCGGTTGGAGAACCCACCTGTTGCCTCCATGCGTGGAGTTTAAAGTTCTGTAACGTTTGCGAAGTGATGGCGTTCCACATACGGTGAAAAGATAGTATGAGGGCATTTTTGTTTGCAAGTTGAGTTTGACAATCGGCTTGATCGGACCATTTTCCCAAATGTACGCTGTTTTTTTTTTTTTTTTTTTTTTTTTCTGGTTTTTAAAAGTATATTTTGAATAGTTAAAGCTAAATATCTCCCAAACCGAAGGAATCATGGGAAAGTTACTAAAGAGGTCGGACCAAAAGTCATGTGTGGTGATTTCAAATATGACCATAGATTTGACTTTTCATCTAAATTTCAAGGTCAAATGGGACAAAATTTTGTAAAAATAATACTTTTCAGGTAAAAAATATTCGTTTGTGCTGATTTGCTTTGATATTATGTTGAGAAGTTACACTTGAGGTCTTCTTTCATAATTACAATTAAAATGCCTTTATAAGAGACGTAATTAATCTATGCGATTTCATAATCTAAAAATATCTGTACCTGTGGATTTAAATCTTGCCAAATCTTAATAAACTCCCGTTCCGCTTGCTTTTATTTATTAATAATCACCTCATATCTGTAAACTGTTTTACACTATGCTTTTTATTCCAGATAATAGTTACATATCAAAATTATGGTACAGAAAAAATAAAATATCGGTGAAGATGCTTTTATAACATTTTATAACATTTTATAAGTGATTTAATAATATTTGTTTGAAGCTATATATGTGTCCCCTCAAATCTGATTTTCTATAAGGACTTCAACAAAGGTAAACAAATGTCCATTAAATTAAAAAGACACCAGCAAAAGACACCAAATTTACACACGTGTCTAATAGCGCGTGTGTTTACTGCGCACGAAAATTTTCTCACCTAGGCTGCACGGTATGCCTCCAACAGCGTTATAGTTTTGTTTTGTGGGATATAGTCCCATTCTTCCTAAAGACCATGAAGGAGTTGGTCCAGATTATAAGGGTGTTGTTTCTAATAATAATAATAATAATTTATTCAGTTTTCAAGGCCTCCGGCCCATAGTACATAATAATAATAATAATAATAATAATAATAATAATAATAATAATAGTAAAGTCCATTAGAAGTATTAAGGATTATTCATTTTTGTCAGTGATTCAAATAAAAGCATTAAATATATAAGCAGCTAGACTAGAGATTAAATTTGTGTCTTTTGTGGTAATTTATCTTAAAGGTACATACGAACCGAGCATCGGTGGAATGTGTATTCCCAGTAACATATGTAAACCACTTCTACTAGTTTCTTATTTGACTCAAATAAATTTGACATGCCAAGGGATAAACTGAATAGATCACTCAATCAGCCATAAAAGAGCTTTAGACTGCTCCTTTCTTTAAATGTTTGGTCGGAAATTTTACCTACTTTCGTGACCTACTTTTCTGGCCCATTGACATACAGCATAGAATGCTAGCAGAAAAATCCATTCAAACATCATTTTCGGGTAAATTAAACAATGCATTTTGGTAATTCTCTTAGTTATACTACTTGAAACTATATGCTAGCATTTGTTTGGTTTTTTTGACAAAAAATTGACTGTGTATGCATCTTTAAAAAAAACTTTCTTTAGTAGGATTATTCACATGCAGATATTTTTCTCTTAATTCTGTATATGCTACACATGCCATTAAAAAATGGTATTCGTCTTCAACATCATAAACATTTTTTTTTCTTCTCTGCAGTGGAACATCGGATTTTAGAGGGAACACTCTATAAATCAAAATAAATGGTATAAAATATAGATACTTTTACCAGTATTTTGTATTTGTATACCATTTATAATGTTTGATATGGTTTCTGGAATAATAAACACGGTTTACAGCACTTTACACATGTGAGGTGATTATTTGTAAAAAAAAGGCACATCAAATTGGAGATGAGACAACATATTTGATCAAAGGTATGCAAGTTTATGTTGTTGGCATATTTCACGTCGTATTCATTCATTTGAGATACGTCAACAGAAATTAATTTAAAAAGTCAATTAAACAGATTTCCTTTATATCGGCAATTATATATCCATATTTATTTCCACTGACAGTAATATACATGTATGTATACAGCGACGACATAACCCAAATTTGAGCGTAGCATACCAATGCAAATAAAAACATTATCAGATTTCATGCACACATACACCTGCACAAATGATTTTTTTAAAATAAAAAATAGCAAGCAACCGTATTATTCATGAACAATGTAAAAAGAAAAAAAATAATTTTCAAATACTTCTCGTTGTCACGGAAACGCGTTCGGTTAATGCCCCTATTTCACACAGACCAATAATCCCACGAATGGCCATGAATCGAAAATTTCAGTATCAGTATTCAGAATCGTAAACAGTTCGTGGAGTTCTTAACATATTCGTATATAATCGTCAGTTATTTCTTTCGTAGTCAGTTCTTGCAATTCTTGATCAATCGGGAATTCGTGGCAAAAATTTTGATCTGTTCAAAATTTCGGCCACGAACTCCCGATTCCAAAAAAGCGTAGTGACTTTCTGGACAATATTCGTGCGATTCCAGCCGAATCCCACGAATATTCGTAACACTATCGCACCTGTATCGTAACTGAATCGTAGAGCGTGTCGAATTAGAGCAGAAAATTGGCAAAATCTCACGACTCCAGCCGCATCCCACGAATATTCGTAACACTAGAGAGTTTTGGCAAGGCCTTCCGTACGACGTATAACGTGCGACGTCATCACTTTGTGCGTAGTTTTTCTCAAGGACAAGTCATAAGTCATACGGCACTACGTATGAATCGGTGATTGCACGTAGGTAAGAAACGTATCGAATTTAATAGATTTACGCTTATTTCTTTCAAGTTTAACATACTGCAGAGGAATATATAGGGTGTTAAGATTCCACTGAATCACTTTTAGACGCTGTCGGTAGAAATACTCTGTGAAAACAGCTGGAAAAACAGCCAGTCAATCAGTCGTCCGTAGTAGTATCAAATTCAATTTAAGTTGATTTTTTTTTCATAAACAACAGGATCTGCGGCATCAATTGACGTGAATAACACATTCCATTCAACATCTTAATTATTCATCTATCTAAAAAGAATCCACAAGCAGCCCCATGTTCGTGTAATCCATATATATATAGGCCTATACCTATAGCGGCTCCTGGCGGAAAAAAACCGCATACGGAGTGAGACTTGCCAAAACCACTGTTAGCTTTCTTGCGTACGTAAAGCGTATTACGTATTGAACTATACGTTACACGTCATACGGAAGGCCTTGCCAAAACTCTCTAATATCGCACCTGTATCGTAACTGAATCGTAGAACGTGTCGAATTAGACCAGAAAATTGGCAAAATCTCATGAATCCTCACGAATCCTGAAATTTGTCAATTCCTGGCGATTCGTGGGATTCCTGGTCTGTGTGAAATAGGGGCATAACTTGCATTCAGCGATGCGTGTTTACAATATCCGTGATGAAGGATGGTGTGAAACCGCGTTCGAGATTACGCGAGATTTAGGACTTATAGGCCATCAAGCGGCAGACCCCCAGAGCTGGTATACCCCATTAAAACTGGTTATATATACATACTTTTCAGTTAAAACGTATTGATGTGGTGTATATTTAAATTCATAGGCAGCCGATTTACGCAAAATCAAAACTTAAGTAAGTAAGTAAGGAAAGTTCTGATTTTAATTAAAATTGTATGCCCATAGTAAACATAACCTTGTAGCATACCAAAGCATACGTGCAGAGGGTACGCACGTGACCCCACCCCGTAAACCCACACAGTTAAACCATAATCCATACCTTACAGGAGACTGCGACATGGTGGTGTGCGGGGGAGTTAGCTGCTTTTTGAATCCGTATGCCAATATTGCTCTAAGCAAGTCAGGAATGGTGTCCCCGACAGGCCAATGTAAGGCGTTCACAGCCGAAGCTGACGGATATGCCCGCGGAGAGGGGTGTGGAATTGTAGTGTTAAAACGACTGAAAGACGTAAGTGAAATGTTCAGTTATGATTACTTATTCAATTTCAGTTTATTTCCTCAAGCAGCATTATTACAGTCATGTCTGGAACTGGATAAGGCATG